CTTAACAAAACAAATTGTGATGTGTTTACGTTTATTGAGGTAGTATTCCTTCATTATTTCAAATATTTTGATCATTACACCTCTGTCGTACAATTATTCTTGACTCCAATGTTAAAAATATATGCATACTGAGCATACGAGGCAAGTCAGTGCCTTAAATTAGCTCTGAAAGGAAGGATTTAAATTATTCAGGCCAAATTATGCCAGCACCAAGTTTGCGGCTACAAAGAATTTGTGGGTTTCCTGCAACTTGCTTAGAGACGTTTATCCAAACATTAGAGGGTGAATGGGTAAATCAAAGACTCAATTCAGTTGACTGTGCTTCCTTGGAAAGGAAAACCTTTTACCAATTGACAGAATAAAATGATCTTGATTGCACTGTGTTAGGAAGCAGTCTGAATGTAATATAATTCAGTCTGACTCTATATGATTGTATTGATTTGACTTTATATTTGTGGATGGAAATTGGATCCGTCTGTCTTGTAAAGTGCCTTGAAATAACATTTGTGAATTAGCCCTAAAGAAATAAACTGAATTAGCCCTTAATATCGGGGCCATAGATAGAGTGGATAAAATGTACAGCTGAATTCAAACTTGTTCACCCAAATGTATTTTAAAGTCATTATGCTGTTGCTCTAACTCAAAAAAGAAAAGTCGTTGAAAGCATAAAATCAAATTCTTCAATTAATAAGTGTAAAACTTCTGACTCAAGCTATAATGTGATATATTTCCAAAAACCATAAATGGACACTTTGACAGTAACTTGTGGTAGAAAGAATTTATTCTACCTGGTTTTGTTCTACAGTGTCTATAAAAAGTATTCACCTCCTTGAATGCTTTACTCTTTTACCGATTTTACAAATTAGTCATGATAAATACAATCTTTTTTGACAAAAAAAAACCCTTGTAATTTTAAAGTGAAAACTGATTTCTACAAAAAATAGTGAAAATTGAATAATACTATGCAAGATAAAATAAATATGTATAAATATTTCTACAAAAATAATGAAAATTGAATAATACTATGCAAGATAAAATAAATATTTATAAATATTCATCCCCTTTAAATTGACTGACCTATTTCAACAGAGGTCCAGCCAATTAGTGTTAGGTCAACTGAGTGCAGTGAGTGATTGCAGTATACAGACACCTGTATCTGGAAGTCCTTTCACTGGTTAATCAGTATTCATGGATACAATAACAGAAGACAAAAGAACAATTCAAGTAAATCAAAGGAAAAGTTGGCAAGTAGAGGTCAAGGAATGGATATAAAAAAAAATCTCTCAGTCACCAAACATCCCCTGAACTTCAGTTATTTACATCATCAAGAAACAGAAGGACTACAGTGCATATGAATGTAAATGAATGCAGCAAAAATATAGGAAAATCCTTGAGGTCATTTTGTTTCCATCCGGAAGAGAATATTTACTTTCCAGCAAGACGACACAAAGCATCCAGCTAAAGCTACAGAGAAATGCTTTGAAGACAACAAGGTACATTTTCAGGAGTGGACCAGTCAAAGCCCGGAGCTCAATCTGATAGATAATTTGTGGCAGGACGTGATATGTGGCAGCTGTTCTCCGTGCAACCTGACAGAGTTTAAACAGTTGAGCGTGCAAGAATGCAGTTAGGCTTCAGCGTCCAGATATGCAATCCTGATTAGGATCTGTCCACGTTCCACACACACCTCATGCAGCCAAAGGTGCATCTACTAAATACTTACTCGACAGGGCTGAATATTTAAGTGCTTATGTATATGAAATATTTTCTATTTGTCTTTATTTTGTAGAAATCTGTTTTTGCATGGTTTTTTAAATCCTGATTGATTTGTAAGAGCAATAACAAAGATAAACATCCAAGGAAGCGAATACTTTGCACAGCTCCTCCACCTCCACATCAGGTTTACTGGAATGTTTCCGAAACAGTCTGAATTAGAAAGAAAGCGTTCTTTGTGTATGATCCAAAAATGTTCTTTTGCGAGGCCCTTGTACCTGCTCTGCCTGTTTAAGCTGACCGGTTTCAGGGGTCTAAATCATGCAAATTGAATGACTTTGCCTTTTAAACCATCAAAGGAGAGCCAGACAAGAACAATGCACTGGGTGAAAACAAGAGCTGTGGAGAAATGTCTTGATTAGTAGTGGCATTGTACTCTTACTCCAAAACAATCCAGCGTCATCCCTTTGGGCACATGTTGCATTAATTGCTGCCTCAATAGAGCCTGCAGACTCTACCATCTAATGCTCTCATCAAAGAAACAACACAGAGAACTTTATGAAATTTTTATTTAATGTTTTCCCTTCTCTTCCTTCCCCCCACCCCGTGCTTTCTTCCTTTTCTCTCTCGCCACCTTTAGCTCCCTTCTCCCTCTGAGGCGGCACCACCAAACAGACAAGAAATATTTCTTTCTGCCATGTTTTTTCCATGCGACTTCCTTCCTGCCCAGAAGCACTCGAGTGTCTCGTTAGTTCTCTCACAGCTAACATCACTCCTGTGTCTGCCAGGAGCAAAAACCTGATTGGAGGGGGGTAAGAAAACATAAGGTTTATAAGGTTCTTTGTAGAGCTATAAAGCTGTAGTATTATTAAGCTGCAGTGATTAGAGCTACAGAAGGCTCTAAAGGAAAGAGATGGGAGAATCCCCCCTCCCCGTGGACAGTGTACACTGAAGAGCCAAAGTTTCATCAGCAAGTTGTTACATTGCTAGAACATTGTTAGCATGATGTCCTCATTTCTTAAAAAAATAAAACAAAAGTTTATAGAAAGCTCTTATTTCCATAGTTTCTTCCCTGTGAAGCAATTTTTGTCTTAATTCTAACAGAGAAAGCTAACCATGACTATTCTTTCTTGCATTGATTTCCTTTACATATGTACTGTAAAGTGTTTGTGCCACTTCAACTTCCACACATTGCACATTTAAAGCCAAACCAAGCAACACAAAGCACACAGGCGTGACTTCAGATTGACACATGGCTTTAATAGAAAAAAAAAAAAAAAGTCCTGAAAAGTATGACATGCATTTGTATTCAGCTTCCTTTAGTCTGGTGCCCCTCCAATGAACCTGCCTATGAGTTAAGAGAAAAATATACAGATGTTAGGGCATTATGAAAATCAAGGAACACACCAGACACCCAACTGATCTACTAGTTAGAATAAGCCAGTCAAAATCCAAGACCTGAAAATGCTCACAGATTATGATCTTGACCAAGACTATAAATAAGAATGGTGAAAACTGTAGACTAACTGTGCACACATACCCCAAAGTACTGACTCATGGGGTCAGTACTTGAGTTTAAAGTATGACTTTGTGCTGGTCTATCACATAAAATCCCAGATCACTACATAGAGGGGTGTGGCTGTAATGAGATAAATTGGTATGAATGGGTTTGCAATGCACTGTAATCAGTGATTGAAACACATACAAACACACCTCCAATACATATAGGTATAAATCACAGCACCTGATATCAGAGTCCAAAGCTTAAATAATTAAAGATCTTTAATTTCTTGGGACTTAGCACACCCTGACAGCAGGGCTGATGAAAGAAAAACAAAGATATATTGAGAAAAGTGTGTGTGTGTGTGGGGGGGAAATATCACACATTAGAAACGCATAGTAAAATAAAAACATTACTACATCAGAGGGGGACAAAAACTTTCACAACAGGCCTTATAAGTAGGACCAAACACTAGATAAGAGAAAAAAAAAACAAAACAAAAAACAACAAAAAAAAAACACAAAGGTTCGGTATGGGAGCTACTTAATCTGCTTGCAAGGATATTCACGCATCAGTTGGTAAACCAAAAATGCATTGCTTCCATGTAAAAATTTGAATTGCAGTCTAAAATTGATCTGAGACATCAAAAATTATTGGAATAAAAATATTACGCAAAAGCATACAGGTAAAACTAAAGAAAAAAAAAATAAAATAAAAATAACCCTACCCAGCCCGAGAAAACACAAACCACTGCTGGAATTTTCTAACCCTGCATGCAAGCAAAATTTGGGTGGCATTCGATATACGAACTAAGATTTTGAAGATATAAAAGCAATGTATTTTGGATTATTACGAGTTTCTATTCCAGCAACACGTCACAGCACTTTACATTTAAAGTTATAATACCTCACCATGTAATTTAAAAGTTGTATTCATTGTATTTCCACTAGGACTAAATTATTTCACTAAAACCTATTTTTGTATATCTGTGATGCCGTCGTATAATGCACTTAAAACCAAAAAAGCAAAATGAAAATGCATCTGAAAAAAACACTTATATAATGAAATCTAGGTTGATCTAGAGTTGTCACAACTAGAACTGTCAGGGAAAGGTAGAACTCTAGTGCCCCCTGGTGGCCAAAGAAACCGACACAAAAATTAGGGGGGAAAAAACATGACCCACACAACTAATTGATGGTGACCTTCTTGGATCTCCTAGTCCCCAGGATGACCTAGATTAGCCCTGTTAACTTTGGAAGTCAGAAATAAGATTTACTAGAAGGCACAAAGACACAAAGGGAGGAACATTACAATGAAGCAAACCACCATCTCTGGTTCCGTTTGACCCTACACAAGTTATCCGTTTCAGCACATCCTGGGAAATAAAATGGAAAAAAAAAAAAACACTCCAACCAGAAACAGCATAGATTTAAACAGACCCCTTTGTCTCTCTCAAGGCGGTTATTTTATAAGCACAGCCTTTCTTGGCTAGCACATTATTACTGTTGCTAGACAACATTCCCTCATAAAGTTTATTTGTTGGCGATATTCAGCCACCTAGTGGTCGAACCCTCTCATGACATCAAGTACTGACACCCCCCTCCCCCACGTCCCAACAACTTTGAAAGCTTTTGGTTGTACGACACTAGATTATTACTAAATAAATGGCTGAAAAGTAGTTAAAGTGATGCAAAACTAACTACAAAGAACACAGACTCAGTAGAGGGGAAGATAAAGGATCATCACACTGGAAACACTCCAGCCCTAAATCAAACAGTACAATATGTTTCAATCACATACCATTATTTATTGTTTTATTTTAAATCTTTTAGATTTTGAAGATGCAACCCAATGTGCCCTTTAAATAATAATTATCCATAGTGATTCAGTACAACTGTCCTCTGGATAGATAAATTGATGATACAGTGTGTTTTTTTTTTTTTTTGTCTTTCCAAGACAATCTCCTGCTCTCTTCTCTGGATTCCTCTTTCCCTGCTGCTACATTGTTCCTCACACTTCACTTGTCCATGAGGGAACGCTGTAAAGCCTCCTGAATCATGGTGGCCTCATCTGTGGCGTAATCCTGCAGAACACCACAAAAGAAGAAAAGAAAAAAAAAAGAAAGAAAAAACATCACACAAGAAATTAGTTGAAAACCAAAGTCTATTACTGATGGTGTTGTACTCACAACGAAAGTATCATAGGAGAAAGTGTGTCTGATCTTCAGGTGCTGGAAAAAGTCAGTACTCCTGTAGTTGGGGTCTCCCCAAGGCATTGAGGCGCAGATGGGACACACCTTACAAAATGAGAGCAACAATAAACAATTTATTGATCATGATTAAAGAGAAAAAAAACAAACAAAAAAAACCCCAAAAAGGATCACACAACTTTGTGGAGTTCTCACCACTTGGCGCGTATCCCGTGCATGTTGGGTAGTGCAATGTTCAACTAGGCTGTCCTGATCCAGGTTCTGGCAGTTGCAGAAGGGACAGGAGAAAGTGAAGCGGTTTGGGACCGGGCTGAAGGACGGGGACAGAAATAATTCTGTGATCAGTCTTTTTACCCATGATTACAACAAACTGGAGTGCAAGGCTGAATTTGTTATGAATTCAGTTTACCAATTAAACTAAGGAACTTCTGGAAGACAACAAATGACGTAACACAGAAGAGATGGTGCATCATTTTTCACGTAAAAACAAAAGCCATAGTTTTCTTGACTTAAATTCCCAGAGTTCCCCCAAACATTTAGCTCTTTTTAAAATACATGGCAGTCACTAGCTACATGAGAAAACTTTTATGTATGGCATAGACCAGACAAAAAGGAAGGAATGGAAGACACAAGAAAGAAACAAAAAATAGGAGTGAGAAAGGAAGAACAAGGGAAAATGTATAGACAGATAAAAGGAATGATATAAGGAAGAAAAGAGAGGAAGAAGAAACAGAAGGACGAACACCAAGAATATAAAGAGGCAATAGAAGTGAAGGAACAAAGACACAGAATGAGAAAAGGAGGATGCAAGGAAGACAGGAAAGAGAAAGACAGAAAGAAAGAAGAACAAATGCTAGAAAGGATGGGCACAATTAATGGGCTAAAGATAAAGGCAAGAAAAGAATGACAAGGATAGAGGGCAGCATTAAAAAGGGTGAAGAACACATTGATGGACAGAAGAAAAGGAAGGAAGGACTCAACAAAGAAAGTCAAGTGGGGAAAGAAAGACAGGAGGAAATGCAAGGAAAGCCAAAATAAACAAAGAAAAAGAGGAAAGTAGGGAGAGGAAGAAACATGAGTCACAGGGAACGTCATGCAAGGAGGAGGAAGAAAAGGAGACAAAAGGAAAGGGGCAATTAAACGAAGTCAGAGACTATAGGATGGGGAATAGACCCTAGAAATACAAATATTTTTTCTTAGACTATTTTCTTTTCCACACTTATCCAGACCTGGAAAATACTTCAAATGAAATCCCACACTTTTCCACACTGAGAAGAAGCACTATACCCATTTAATTATACATTATACTTCTATTCTTCCAATATACTCCAATATACAATATACATTTTCTTTATATGCTATTCATTTTTTCCTGGTAAACTGTATACTTGTGAATTGTGCTATAGACATGAGTCTGCTTTGTTTTATAGTATTTTTTCTTTGTTACCAAATTACCTAAATAAATACTTCGTCAACTCTACACCTCAGTAATTCTGACATAAATAATGGATTATTTAAAAGAAGCATTTTAAATAAGCAGGATACAGTAAGATTACCGGTGCTCGTTAAGCTTTAAACGTTAGTCACTTGCCTGAGCCAATGCTCTTTCAAAGATGGCCACTTAACAACACCGGCAGATTATTATACAACCTCAGAAAATAAAGCAGATTTACTTTCGCTTTTGTTATAATGCACATTTTACATTTTGCTTCAACCAAGAAGGGATTTAAATGTACTAACACTGTGTATTTTCCTATTTACTTTTTACTCTGCAAAACATTCTGAAACTTCCATGCCTTAAGCTTATTGGTTTCTTCACTCCCCAAATATTTAACTCTAAGCAACAATACCAGTTTGTCAAGAACTTTGTTTCAAATTCTCTTTTCGGGGCAGGATTCTCTAGTACCAGCACTTTCTACCTCTATTTTTAAATCTCTTTGCATACAGACTACACCCAAAAAGATCAAATTCATACCTGTAAAATACAGACTTTCAATGCGCTTGTTCCATGGATCAATTAAATAGCACAACTGTGCAGTGAAAACAAAACAAAAAAATAATACCGGTAATAATAATGTTTCCAATAAATAGAAAAACGCAGCTTTTATTTATGGTGTCAATGAATTGACTGTAGAAAAGGAAGAGCAACAACTTCAACTATCATCAGTTTTTCTTGAAGTTCACAATCGGTGCAATCAACAAACTGGTATTTCTGCAACATTTACATACAATTTTCCCCACTGTATCCTGACCCAAATCAACATAAAATACAAACTCTTGCTCATAAAATCCTAGGTGAATATTTTTCACCATTTCTTTAGAAAAAAGGAAAAAAAAAAATCATAAAACAAACCAAAGAGAAAAAGAATCAAAATACTACTTTGGAATAATGTTGATGCCTCACCAACCAAGATAACAAAAGTTATTTTGCAATTGCAGGGAAATATTTTCTATAGGCGAATACTGCCTATAGAACAGGCAATAAGCTGAATATTGCCTGTTCTATCAGTATTGAACTCTCCATCACTAAAAGTTAAAACAGTACCAGTGAGGGAATTACTTGGCAAACAATTTAACTGTTGGTGTCATTTATCCTACAGACATCCATGTCAATGTTTCTTCTAAGATTAAAAACAAAAAAATAATTCCAGTTTTTTTATTTTTTATTTTTTTTATTATTATTTCTTTGTTTTTAATACACCCTCAGATAACTTAACAGCTTACTGGTACCATAGACCTCTTATTACATAATCTCTGTTGCAGTTGAGTGTGTATGCAGTATCGTCCTTCCGCACAGTTCTGATAAGGCTCGGTTATAACTCCTCCTGCTGACTGTCCTTAACACGCAGGGCAAGGAGACAGTAAATGTCTGAAAGGATATCTGACTGAATTGGAATATCATTGAACAGTTATTCCAGTAGTTCAGCTAAAAAGCTGAAACTGATCAATTCTTTACATACAGTATAGCATGTATACATACTATACAGTAGTATAGAAATGTTTACTTGAAAGTAAACATTTCAAGTGTTTACTTGTTTAATGTTGATTACAGTTCGCAGCTAATAAGACATACAATTCAGTTTCTCAGAACATTAGAACATCTCATAACACAAGATTATGCGGTTAGGGGCTCCTTTTGGACGAATTAATGTCTCAGTGCAGTGCTGCATGAAGGTAATCAGCCTGTGGCTGTGTTGAGATGTTCAGGAAGCCCCGGCTGCTCCAATAGCTGCCTTCAGCTAGTCTGCAATGTTGGACCTGCTGTCTCTAATATTTGTCAATATATTCTCTATATAGTTTGTGTCAGTAGAATCAACTGACCAACTAACCTCAGTGATACTGTGATCAACAGAACACGTAGAAGGATGAATTAAGTGCTCTAAAATTTCCACCTGCAGTGGCTTTGGACCAACACCCACAGATAACACAGCAACCCAACTTATTACTCACTGTGGAAACTTCACACTGGACCTCTACAAATTTGGAATCTGTGTCTCTCTACCAATTCCCCAGATGCCAGGACCGAATGAAATGCTAAATTTACTTTCATCCAAGAAGAGGACACTTGTGACCTTGTTTCTGGTTAAGCGCTACCCCATGTCCCAGATGCATCTGGGTGGTGGACTCCAGCCACGGTCCAAGGTTTGTGAATTTACAGCCCCCATCCTTCACAATCCTCTCAAGGCTATGGTTATCCACATTGTGTGTGCAACTTTTTGTGGCATTCTAATCAATGGAGTTGTAACAGGCAATGTAAGTGGATTACAACAAGACTCCTAAATTAAGGTCACAGTTTATGTCAGTGCAGTCCTACATTTATTCAACCAAACATAAGGCTATCATTAGATACAAAATATTTTCTTATTCTTCTATTTAGTGTGAAGCAGTATGATTTTTCCCTCCAGCTTCAAACAACAAAGATTGTGCAGCATTTCCCTCACCTGATAATGGCAGGCTGACTTTGGGCAGTGCTCCTCACCCCCTCCTCAATATACTCCTGGTATTTTGAACAGGCAGCTGTGTGGCTCCTCATCTGAGAGAGGCCAACCTTGTAAGGAAACAAATAACATACCACTTTGTTATGTTTATAAGAAGCCAGTCTTTGTTGTAATTAACACAATTATTACAATTTCAAACTGAACATAGAAATTGTAGTCACCAGGTGTCCTCAAATGTCAAATACATTTCACATGAAGCTGGCGATAGTCTTGGCTTACTAGAGTTTTACTTAATCTTACCTGAACTCCACATCCCTTGCAAGCTGCCACAGACGAGTGGATGAGGGCCTCTAAATCAGCAGCTTTAGTCCAGTTGGTCAGAGCTGTCCTACATACAGCACACACAGGCTTCTGTGGACGCAAACATTCTTGCAAACAGCTCTGGCAGAACCTGCCAGGAAACAGAGGAAAGAATGCGATAATGGTGTGGTCAGAAGGAAATAAACTGACTATTATACGTGTTAGGGTTTTGTTATTCAAATCTAGCTTTTGTTTATTCTTTTATTAAAAATTCACACACTTTGTTGGAGTCATTTCTTTTTTTTTTTATGCTACTGACATGAGGTTCCCGTAAAATCAAAGGAAAGTACCAAACTCAAGAAAGCGCAGGGAGTTGTAGTCTTTTATAGCACTTCTATCAGTCACTGTAATGGAAAATAAGACTACATGTCCCGACTGAGGCCTCCTTCTTGATGTAAACAAAACTGAAACTGATTTAGCAGGTTTTAATGGGGTTTTCCATATAATTTTAGAAACAAAGTAGAACAGCATAGTCTCGACAAAAAGCAGACAAAGGAACGCTTAACGTTTTGAGACTTTATCCAACAATGTCTTTCACGCTACCCCTTTTCTCTCATTGTTTTTAACTGCTATCATTGCATCGTTGGTGGTAGCAGACGTGGGATAGGGGGAGGGAGATGGAAAATTAGCACGAAATACTCACGTATGACCGCATTGTGTTGTTAGAGGAGTCTCGAAAATTTCAAGGCAAACTGGACAAACGAAATCCGACACGTCGCTGCTCCCGTCAGGGACACTCTTCTTGGGCTGTGCTGAGCTGAAACCTCCGAGCATCGCCATTTCTTTTCTTCACTGTGTCAGTCCCCAGCAACACCAACTGTAACAAAACGTCACTGGGTTTGGGTTCTTTTTTAAGCGCGAGGGGCGGAGCTTCGGGAATTACAATCACGACATTACAGCAAATATTGTACTCATGTAGACATATTAATCACAACTAATACAGTTTAAACTGCCAGTTTATTTACAGTCTGTAACCCTGATCTCACTTATCTGTGGGTGAGATGAGTCTTGTTGATATACATTTTATATATAAAAAAATTACATATATGCATAAAATGTATAACATATATTAACAAGAAAAATAATCCAAATTATAGGATTAAATTATATAGAATTAAAAGTGTTACCTACCCCATGCATGAAGTTCTTGGTGAACTGGAGAGCTCCTGCGCTGACTAACTTTTGCATAGGTGAACAAAAGAGTGTTTTGTTCCTTCAGCTGTTAGCACATAGCCACAACTGCCCCTAGCAAACTCAGTGAGTATTTACAACCTGTTGGAGCTATTTATTGTTTATATTCTTTATCCATTTGAATTTTGTTAGTTTGTTCTTAAATGTATATTTTTTGTATTATTTACAGAATTTATTTGTAAGTTAATAATTGTTGATTTAATTTATCTTTTGTTTTATTATTTTTCTTATTGATATTTTTTAAGTAAACAGGAAGTGATGCGGGTGGGCCCGCTTTCTATAAATGTAGGGGCCTGGTAAAGGACCAGCAGGCATTTGGGTTAGGGGCCTATGGTTTTTACCAGTGCAAGGAAGCAGAGAAAACAAAAGGAAGTTTGAACTCTGTAATTGTTCCATTTTTTTTGTTTTGCAAAGATGTCAAAATAAATCATGAACAACAAGTTACAAGTTGGATCCTGAACCTTCTTTGCCTGCGTTAAAATACTTGACCCCAGTGTCTCAGTGGCTTATTGGAACTTTGTTGGATGTTTGGTTTGACAAACAATCGCCACTACACAACCCTTAGACATATGTAGCTTTTCCCATTTCAAATAACATTCCTGCTGGTATTTTGCACACAATTGTTTGCACAGTTTTTTTCACTTTAAATAGTCCAGTGTTGCTTTTTTCATGAATTACACATTCATATTTTGTACATTTTTAAATGATCCTACTCAGTTGTATATTTCTTTGAATCGGAGTATGCTATTTTAATAACTATAATGGATTCTCTTATGATATAAATTTGTCCTTACAGTTTGACATGTCAACATGAATCTCAGCAAAAGAAATATATCCAGAAGACATACAAGGGTGTACACACAAAAAAATGTCTTATTTGTATTTGGTAAGTCTTTTTTTTTGACATTGGTTAAAGTCGATGGCTGTCAGGGCTGTTTCTGAAATGCACTAATTTATTGTAGTTCTCAAGCCTGATAAATTCCAAAAACTCAATAATTTATCTTGAAAAATTAATTGAACACTACTGGGGTCCTCTACCAGAGGCCTGGGAGCTTGAGGGTTCTGCGCGCATATATATATATATATATATATATA